GTCCTATTCATTAACTGTGATTTCATTGTTGCATGTATTTATGTTACGATAAGTGTATTAGTTAACATGTTGTGTTCTTCATTGTTGTATAATTCAGCCGATAAGCGGTCTACGGTTTAATTTTAATTTGTAATTAATTACGTAAATATCACAATGAGTAAGTGTGAAGAAACATGTGCCTCTAGAAACTTACCAATGCGCGGTGAAGCTTAAGAAAAATTAGTAGAAATCGGTGTGTTATTAAAATTCATTAAACGTTTTGATGGGTCACGAGAAAAATTAAATCCGTCTATATCCAATTGCCAAAATGCGTACAGCTTAGCTTCTAAATCCCAAAAATCAATATTATTTAAATACATCCTTAGTCAGTTAGAAGGTAGGGCGGAAACAACGTGTAGCATAAAAGATTTCGAATCATTTGAACAGTTTTTAGAATTTTTAAAACAACAGTTTGATGAAAGTAAACACTACTCTCACCTCCTGTCAGACCTACAGGATTGCAAGCAGGATCCCACAGAGTGAGTTAATCAATTTGCATTAAGGATAGAAACATGCCTGGCCAAATTATTAACAGAAATAAATATCTCCATTCCAACTAAAAGGAAAACAAAACTGTCAGGTCGCGTAGCAGCTATGGAGGACCTAGCCCTCCACACATTCGTTCGTTCGCAGGACTCCACCCGCGTTTATCCCAGATAGTCAGGTGCCGTGACCCTGATTCTTTAAATACAGTCGTGAACTTCGCAGTTGCCGAAGAAAAGATCCTCTCTAGCATAGGGAAAAGACCTCAACCGCCACAATCTCAACCTATATACAACAAAAGACAATCGCCGCCCCGTCGTAATTTACCTTTTCAACAAAACTACCATCGCGACAACTTTAGGCCCAACACAAATGTATTTTGTCGTTATTGCAAGAGTGTCGGTCATAACATAGAGATCTGTCGCAAACGACAGTACAACAATAGCAAACAACAGTCCCGTACATCAACCTCACAAGGTCCACCTCACATATTTCAACAGCGTGGCGAAAACACACCAGGTAAAATTTACTCTGTCGAACAGGTGGGCATGGTAGACCAAGGATCCAATGAGGTTGACCGTAATTTAAACGAATAAAGTGCTCTTGGCGGTATCCCGCAAGTCCAAGGCCTCGTATATACACTATTTCAATTCCAAACGACACCTCCACTGTATCTAATCGACTTAACTGACAGGGTAACCAGCCCCAAACTGACAAGTCGAACATCACTGTATCCACTGTATCCAATCGACTTAACCGATAGGGTAACCAGCCCCAAACCGACAAGTCAAACATCACTGTATCCACTGTATCCAACCGACTTAACCGACAGGGTAACCAGCCCCAAACCGACAAATCAAACATCACTGTATCCACTGTATCCAACCGACTTAACCGACTGGGTAACCAGCCCCAAACTGATAAGTCGAACTCCACTGTATCCACTGTATCCAACCGACTTAACCGACAGGGTAACCAGCCCCAAACTGACAAGTCAAGTATCACTGAATCCACTGAATCCAATCTCCATGCACGAATCCCTGTAAAACTTACCAATCCTAAAGTCTCATACGCATCCGTTGCAGCATCACGTATTCCTAACTCACATAAGATATCCTTGCAACCCACTGAATCTGTTCCTCCGGTCAAATATTCCAAATGCATTACTTTCAGAACCAGCATAACTTAAATCCAAATGTCACACCGCTTCCAACGCACAACCTGAAATCAAAAAAAAGCAAAATTAAAGTTTATGAAATAAATAATAATACAGAGAAAAGATACCTACCTCATGTTATGATACAAACATCCATTGCAACAAAGCCATTGTCCTTTCTAGTAGATACCGGTTCATCTGTAAGCCTACTAATGTCAAAATCCATATAAAACCTTCCAGTTCTAAGTAATGGGATAATAAGACTTAAATAAATCGACCCCGGAGACGAAACAACTCCTACATTAGGCAGCTTCCCAATGAAAATATACATAAACTCTAATAAATATTTCTCACACGAATTTCATGTTGTTCAAGATCTCAATTTAAATCATGATGGTATTATCGGTAACGACCTTCTTAGGGACTTCCATTGCCAAATCAATTATTCTCAAGGAATGTTACAAATAGGTTCTAATTTAGTTAAACTCAACTTTTCCGAAACAGTGTACACCATCTCCCCTCGCACGGAAACTCGCATGCACAGTCAGTAACCCTGAAGTTTGCGAAGAAATGATTCTGGATCAACACATCTCTAACCCCTTATTCATTGCAAATTATTTAGTTAAAGTAAAGGAAAACAAACGCGTCAATATTACAGTAGTAAACACTTCCGAAAAACCTGCTATTATTCACCCAAATCTTAATTTAAAAATAGAGTCAATACAGCTTGAAAACACCATAGCTTTTTCCAAACCATCGTTCTCCAATGTATCAAAAAGGACAAACGAAGTCCTCAAACAATTAAAAACCTCTCACCTTAATAGCGAAGAGAAAACCGCTCTATTGGACATATGTTCTAACTATTCAGACATATTCCATCTCCCGGACGACCAACTCACATGCACCACTGTAATTGAGCATAAAATTAAAACTAACACAGACGTCCCTATTCAAACAAAATCATATAGGTTCCCCGAATGCCACAAGAAAGAAGTAGAAAACCAAATAAGTAAAATGCTAGATCAAAACGTCATAACTCCTTCAAATTCACCATGTTCCTCTCCTATTTGGGTCGTTCCCAAAAAATTTGACGCGTCAGGAAAACGTAAATGGCGTGTCGTGATTGACTACCGTAAACTCAATGACGTCACCATTGGAGAAACATACCCCATTCCTCAAATAACTGAAATCCTTGACCAATTGGGGAAGAGCCAATACTTCACTACTCTAGATCTTGCATCAGGATTCCATCAAATCCCTGTATCATCCGAAGATGCACCTAAGACTGCCGTCTCAGTACCTCAAGGTCACTTCCAGTTCACTAAAATGACTTTAGGCCTAAAAAACTCTCCAGCTACCTTCCAAAAACTCATGAATACATGCCTCTGTGGCCTCCAGGGCTCCCGCTGTTTCGTTTACCTCGACGACATAGTTGTTTATTCTCACGATCTTAACTCTCATATACAAAATCTTGCCTCTGTCTTCAGTAGATAAAGAAACTATAACCTTAAGCTTCAACCCGACAAATGTGAATTCCTATGTAAAGAAGTCGCTTATCTGAGACATCTCATCAACAACGATGGCGTAAAACCAAACCCAGAGAAATTAAAAGCAATCTCCGAATTCCCTGTTCCTAAATGTGCTAAAGACATAAAATCTTTCCTTGGACTGGTCTCTTACTATAGACGATTCATTCCCGACTTCTCCAAATTAGCCAAACCTCTTACCTTACTCCTTAAAAAGGAAACTCCTTTCAGCTGGAAAAATGAACAGCAATTAGCCTTCGAAGTACTTAAAGAAAAACTTACCACTTCTCCAGTTTTGGCATATCCAGATTTCTCAAAACCTTTTATACTTTTATATTCTAATTTCGCTATTTCAGCAATCTTATCCCAGGGACAAATAGGAAAAGACCGTCCTATAGCCTTCGCTTCCCACACTTTAAACAAAGCAGACTGCAATTATAGCGTGACTGAAAAAGAGTGTCTCGCTATTGTATTTGGAACCAAAGCATTTCGTCCTTATCTCTATGGACGCACTTTTACCATCGTCACGGATCATAAGCCTCTACAATGGCTGTTCAGTTGCAAAGACCCAGGATCCAGACTAATCCGTTGATGACTCAAACTTGAGGAATTCGACTATATCATCGCGCATAAAAAGGGTAAAATTAATACCAACGCTGACGCTCTCTCCAGATTTCCTGTTAATCCCATTCAATATCCAGAGTCCCAAGTGGAAAATTATTCCCCTCCTTCATTTCACCACATTACACCCGAAGAATTAGAAAGGCAGCTCCCTTTTACACCTAATCCCGGTAGCAATGAAACACCTTTAATTGACCTCCTCGAAGATCTCGAAATTCCCTTAAATAATAGTCCTATCCTAGAACCAACTAGTAACACTAACCCTAATCCATCTAGTTTAGTAGATCCTCAACCCTCTACAAACGATCAAATCTTTGACTTCGACGATTTCGGTCCCGAGACCTAGGTGCTTACACGACGACGACCTCAACATTAATACTGATTCGCTTAATCTGCGTACACCTCCACCTGAAAATCTACCAATTCCACCAAAACAACTTCCAACTCCCTTCCGCCACTCGCCGATACCTGAAACGTCTCCTATCTCGTCGAATCAACCAAATTTACCATCTCCAACTGTTCCCACACCTGAACCATAAAATGGAAAATTAAACAAGACGCAAGACAATAACTACTCCCAATTCTTGAAATCAATCTCAAATAAAGAATTCATACCAGACACCACCTTAAAAGAACACAACGAAAACCTGTTCAAAAATCATCCTTTAAAACAATTATAATTTCTACCTCTATTGACCTAGACGAATCAAATCCCTACATCTCCGAAATCCTATCAAATTTAGAAAATAAAGAGGAAATTATAAAAGCCGAAAAAGAATTATTTTCATTCTAAATGTTACAATACTTAGATAAAACAATATATTTTATATTCACGAAAGTCCATCACTTTGACGAAACATCCTATCCTGCAATATACGAAACACTGAAACAAATAAAAAAACAAAATACTTTAAACAAATGACGTAAAAGATATCGCAATATCTGACTTCCGGAACCCCTTTGACAGACTTTCCCACTCAAAAATCTATAATATACTTAATTACATATTTAACATCTCTAAAATCTCTATCCATATTTATCGTAATCAAATAATATATCCTACTCTATGTAAAAGACCAAAAATTCTTCGGGATAACTACGATATCCCAATAGCAGGACATCTAGGTTCAACCCGGATGTATAATAGGATTCAGGACCAGTATTATTGGAAAGGAATGAGAAGCGACTTCGAAGACTATGTCAAGAAGTCCAAAGCCTGCCAAGAAAATAAAGCTCTCAGGAAAATAAACAAAGCCCCTATGGAAATCACTACTACATCTACTGCTCCTTTTCAACGCGTAGCTCTAGATATCGTGGGACCTCTACCGGAATCTGGAACCGCTAGACTCCGCTATATACTCACTTTACAAGACGACCTTACAAAGCACTCTGTAGCATATCCCATACATAGCACAACAGCCGAAGAAACCAGCGATTGCCTCATTCACTTCATCTCCTTATTTGGAATACCCAAATCCTTCCTAACAGACCAAAGGACAAACTTCACGTCCGACTTCTTCAAAACCACATGCCAATTCCTAAAAATCAAGCAACTATGGTCTTCACCCTATCATCCACAAACTCAAAGAGCACTAGAACGTAGCCATTCCACTCTCAAAGAATATCTAAAATCATTCGTCAATGCAAATCAAAATAACTGGCCCACTTACGTCTATATCGCTATACTTACATACAATACCACTCCACATACCACTACAAAATTTACTCCTTATGAGCTCTTTGGACAAAAACCCTATATTCCCAATTCTATATATGAAAGGAGTTCCGGAACAACCTATTCCGACTATATTAAAATGTTACAACACAACCTCAAATATACACGAGAAATGGCTGTAGAAAACATTTTAAAATCCAAAGAATCTTCCAAATCTTAGTATGACTCTCATACCAGAACTCCTCCCCAATATAAATCTGGCGATTACGTTTGCCTTAAAAACCATTTAAGACAAGGAAAGGCACTCTCACCCGTCTGTAAAGGACCTTTTAAAATAATTTGTGTCTACAATAACCATACGGCCACACCACATTAATTAATAGACGTCACGTAACTCATCACTTAGCCGAATTCAAACCAGCCGAAATGTCCGGAATAATTTATTTTAAATTTAAGTATAAGTCATCTAGGAATATTATAATCTATATTAATTTTAGTAAATAAAATGTTACTCTTTTAATTTCTATTAAATAACTTTACATTCATATTTCATTTATATCACTTACAGTGTCTCGTCTCAGGCGCAACCGGAAATGATTCAGCCGCTTCCTTCTAGTTCCGGCATCTACTTTGATATGATAGGGAAATTAAAAATAGTTAGAGGTAATTTAGACGTTGTTAGCCACATAGACATTTCTTATATTGAACCACACTTAACTTATCTTAACGAAATCCTAAAAACTGTAAAACTTCTATGTCAACAATCGAATAATCTTTATTGTGATAACACGTTGTATCCTTTAACAACTCGTTTGAATGACATCAACCGGGAATACGACTCAATCTCCGATTTAATATCCAAACGTAATAAACGTTCCGCGTGGTTTAGTGCAGTAGGCACTGTATTCAAACACATCTTTGGCACTATGGACGAAGAAGACGTCATGAAAGTATGACTCCGCCATAACCTCGGTCCAAAAGGACGGAAAAGAACTTGCCCAGCTCATAAAAAAATATTTTAGTAACAACTACTTCATTTAATGCATTTAATAAAACTATAAGCAAAATAAAATACAACGAGGAAATATTAAATAACGCATTAAATACAATATTAAACAATACAAATAATATCACCAATGACTTACTAATTGAATTAAAGGTCCATTCAGTATTTAGTAGCCTCGAAGCTTCGCTCCTCGCCTTATCGTTTCAATTGGAGGACATAACCAACGCCATTGTTCTAAGTAACCTAAACATCCTACATCCGAGTGTTTTGTCCCCGGCGCAACTATATAAAGAACTCATTGATAACGATATGCACCTACCTAGAGACGCAGGGATACCCATAGCATTAAGCATAAATAATATTCATGTAATTTTAAGTATTTCCGATGTTTCCTGCTATTTCCTAATTAATAAAATTGTTTTCATCCTACAAAGCCCTCTTACAATGACTGAACAATTTAACTTATACCATAGCATAGCTTTACCTATTCCTCATAACCTAACCAGTCTGAACATCTTTAGTTTAATCCTACCTTCAACTCCCTACATCGGAATATCTAATGATAAGTTAAGCTACTGTAATTTAGATAATATAAGTAATTGTAAGTCTATACGCTCTGCGGTCTACCTGTGTAAAGTCCCGACCATATCATCAACAAGTGGTAACCCTACATGAAAAGGTGAACTTCTTACTAAGACATTCAGTGCTCTACCCGTTCAGTGCGAAACTAAAACACTATTTAGTGAAATGGACATCTGGAAACCACTAGTGAACAATCAGTGGATTTTTGTGCAATCTCGTCCAAATAAGATAACCATCGACTGTGGTATTTTAGGGTTAAAAGAGACAATTATACTCGGTACGGGCATCCTAAATATGCCTACACAATGCACAGTGTATACAAAGAGCACAAGGCTCGTGTCGTCTGATGACACTTTGAACATTAATATCCCTACGCCTAGTCTAGACCTTAATATAATTAATGATGTCTGTTGTAAACCTAATGTATCCTCTAGTTTTAAGAAATATACATCTCCTATTTTACTACAAAATATTCTCTATTTAGAAAACCTTTCAAAACTCGATAATATAATTAATTAACCCTTGGTAGTAAACTCGGCTGGGCAGCGTTCGGGAAGCTACGACACATCTTCTCGTCAGACATACCTCAAAACCTTAAAACGAAATTGTACAACCAGTGCGTGTTGCCAGTGATGACTTACGGAACTGAGACGTGGTCCTTCACTGCTGGCCGTATGAGGAAGCTCAAGGTCGCTCAGCGAGCTATGGAGAGGGCTATGCTCGGAGTTTCTCTGCGTGATAAACTTAGGAATGAGGATATCCGCAGTAGAACCAGAGTGACCGACATAGCCCAACGGATTAGTAAGCTGAAGTGGCAGTGGGCCGGCCATATAGCTCGAAGAACCGACAACCGATGGGGAAGAAAGGTTCTCGAGTGGCAGCCTCGTACTGGTAGGCGAAGTGTAGGGCGTCCCCCCACGAGATGGAGTGACGACCTGGTAAGACATGCAGGAAGTCGATGGATGCAGGTGGCTCAGGACCGTGTTTTGTGGCATTCTTTGGGGGAGGCCTATGTTCAGCAGTGGACTTGTGAAGGGCTGTAATGATGATGATGATGATGATGATGGTAGTAAAATACGGGACATTCCATATAACGATAACCTCTGTTATATTAATAATAATTGTTATATTCATAGCCTTTAAATGTTATAAATTTATAATATCTAGATCTAAGAATAATTCAAATACGTTTCGACTAAGGAATCTAGTCACTGGTTACACGCTTTACCATCAAGTAATCTAGGCACATTACTTGATAGGGATAGCTTGCGCATTGCCATAGGAATCCGACTAGGAGCGGCGATTTGTCAACCCCATCAGTGCCCGTGTGGTAGCAGCGTCGACAAGTTTGGGCTCCACGGACTTTCATGTAAGAAAAGCGCAGGTTTTCACGACATAGTTCTTTGAACGATGTCATCCCAAGGGCTCTTGCCTGTATAAATATTCCCACGGTTTTAGAGCCTTGTGGAATATTTAGAGACGATGGCAAGAGACCCGACGGTATGACATTGGTCCCTTGGGAGAGAGGTAAAGCCTCTAGTGTGGCATGCTACTTGCGTAGACACTCTGGCGGCCTCTCATCTCAGGGGTACCTCGTTTAAAGCCGGGGCGGCATCAGAGGCAGCTGAACTGAGTAAGTGGCGCAAATATGAGTCTCTGAGAGATGACTACATATTTGTGCCATTTGCTGTAGAGACTATCGGTCCGTGGGGTCTACGTGCGGTGAAGTTCCTAAAGGAACTCCATCCGCGGCTGGTCGTTGCTGCTGGTGATAAGAGGGCTGGTTCTTTCCTCGCTCAAAGGCTAAGTATAGCCATTCAGCGGGGAAACGCAGCCAGCGTTCTTGGCACGATACTGCGGGGAGTAGGACTACATGATAATTAAGTTTCTAGTTTTAGGTTTTTTTTTATTATCATAGTTTTTAATATTGTAGATAAAATTAAGTATTAAATTCAAATACTAATGTACCAATTCCAAGTCGTAGCGATGATGAAAATCATTCCATTTCACAACGCGAGGATTCACCAATACCAGCACCCCGGTTAAGAGAAGTCGCATAAACTATAATATTCTAAAGCTCGGTTATTTTCCCGATATTCAGTTTTCCGCGGGGGGCTGTTATTATACCCCATCAATGTTAGGAGAGTTAACGCATCTCTTTCACGCTGCTGCGTCAGCGCCATAAAGCCTATATAACCGACCTCCCGACAAACGCCCAGTTAATCAGTCAAGAATCAAGAACCTACAGTCAGTCTCGTTCCATTCATCGTTACTAAGTCGTTGCTATATCTTTACTAAATCTTTACTGTTCTAAGTCCCAGTTATTCTATATCCTTAGTTTAAATAAATCTTATTGTTAATTCTAATCAATTATATCGTGTTGTGTAAATAAAATCGTTTTTTTAAAAAGCTCTATTGTCGGTCCCGTATAATAGTGGCATCGTTGGATGGGCATGGTTCTAATAGCTAGGTAGATGTGGTCAACAATCATGCAAAAGCTTACTTTCAGTGTTTATAAATTATATTTAAAGCGTTACGAGGGCCATGTAGCTCTCGTCGTGAGATTACATCGTGGCACGGGAGCAAAACCTGTACGATTCCCTCGAGAATGATTCTGTTATAGAAAATTTTACGTGCTGAGTGTCTGTTAAAGTGGTGAAGAATAACTTCGTGGGGTAACCTAGATGTCTAAGTAATTAAAATAGTCGTGGAGATGTGAAAACCGTTAATATGCATTGAAGCATTGCAGCATACTTTATTTGTCTGCCCACAAAACACTATATAAAGATGAGCCCTGTGCACAGTAGTGAGAGGTATATTAGCTACTACTTTACTTTTTTACCTTTAATGAGGCTTAAGGTAATCAATCCATTTGTAATTTAAGATATTTTCAGACATATTAAGATATTTGTGATAGTCTTGGTTTCATAGCTCTTATGAGTATATGTAAATGAGAAGGCTCTTGCGGAAAAATAGTTTAATTCAAGAAAGCAGATTTTACTTAAACAAATGTTCATTTTATTTTAATTATTAAAAGGCGGTAATCAAACTGATTAAAACTTAAATTTCATGGTACGTAACCATTATTATATATTTTAGCATAATATATTTCAATTGCAATTTGAAGTGTCGATTTACCACGTTCTCGGCGGTGAAAGAAAACCTGCATATCTGAGAAGTTTTCTAGTTGAGTTCATCATCATGTAATCAGTGAAGCGAACACTTTTTTGGCCAGATACTATCTGCGACCTGTGCCCAGTAGTAATATATATGTAAGCTGTTACTGTTTTACTTTTCATTGGGCAATATATGCAGTTTTTATTTCATTTATATTTTCGAGTATGATACTTTTAGTTTTCGCTCTACCGTATGTATTAGTTATATATTAAGGGTTGCAAAAATGAGTAAAACTCATTATCGTCAGCCTAACAAAAGTTCATTGAAATGAACATAGACCTCCCCCATAAATTGTCAAGTAGCTGGATATCTACTGATGATGCTGCCCATCTCTTATTTGCTTCCCTGTTTCGCCTCTCACGACGGGATGATATGAGGTGGCGGAATCTCTTTCACCGCTACAACAAGGCAAGCTTTTTTCTACTTCCATTAATGAATTTATAAAGAATAAAACT